CAAGCTTCCCAGAATACCAACGGAGTAATGGGTTAACTGAGAAGGGAGTACAACACACAGCCAAGAAATTGCTTCGGAATTGTTATAAAAGTGGCACACATTACCTGGATGGATTGAGAGAATATAATAAAGCCCCTTTCACAAATCATCACAAATTCTGATGAGTCGAATGGTTCGCACCTGTGTGCCTACCAGATCACAGAATCTTGAGCCACAGGTTGTGAATCTTGGGAATGTTCCTCAGGTCCTGCAAACCAACGTTAAAATTCAGCAGGACAGGCGTGCCTCGCGGAAGCCTGTTGTAGAGTAAGGTACAGCGATATGTCAATTTTTGAGATATCGATACCGGCTCGGGCTGCAAAGTGTTCTAAGCAAAAATCTAAGACCTGTTTACTTAAGGAATTTTTTGATACGAGTGCATCTTTAGGGTAATCAGTGGTCTTGAAGTTAAGCATGGAGTTCTTCTGGGAGATGAGTCCAAAAAGTGATCTTGCTATTTTTAGCGTTCAATTGATTTTTTTTCGACGGGACCATTTCGGAATGCAATGTACGCGAGAAAACGCATCCGGACATGTGCCTTACGTTGTATTTGGCCTAAGAGGTCCACAGCTGTAGGACTGCGATTTTGCTAAAATGAGTGATTCTAGCGGTTAGAAGAACAAGAAGAAGTTCCAAGATGGCCGCCACGGACCACAACAAACATTCAACTGTTTTCGCGAAACGGCTGCAATTTTCGTAGTTTTACACTGTTATTCAACGAATGTGACGTCTCATTCGTTTCAATGTGAATCTTGTCACGTTCGTTATAATATTGTGTCACATTCGTTTGAACGTGAATCTATGATCAAATACCCCCTTGATAAGCTAGTTCATGTTGAAACGAATGTGACACAATATTCCAACGAACGTGACACGATTTACATTGAAACGAATGTGACGTCACATTCGTTGAATAACAGTGTATACTAAATAGCATTCTCAAAGGTGCGATATCGTTTTCATGGTGTTCTTCACGTTTTTAGCCCGCCCTTCTGCTTTTAAAAAAAGCATTAAAGCGGGCTTATGCAACCGCTCTCGTGTCCGTCCGTCCGTCCGTCGTGCGTGTAAGAGGAAGGAGATGAGGTAGAGGTCTGAAAATTTCAGGGTATCTTAAGGTTCACTCCCTGGAAACGGAACGCCTGTCAACCCCCCCCCCCCAAAATCCTGTCAACTACCCCTAAGGAGGTAAAAGGGGGTAACAAAGTAATAGGGTTTGGTCCAAAACCTTAGAAAAAAAAAAATACTTTTTTTATGGTCGTCTAATGGGTATCTCGTGAACGTAGAGTCTATTGGGCGAAAATTTTGTCCGTTTGAGTCTATCTTGCACCGTTTGGGCGCTAGAGTGCTTTTTTCGACGAAAATACGGTGGAAATGACCACGTTTCACATGAAGACGTACACGGAGGCGTCCAATCGTAAAATGTCGTAGGGAGAACCCCCCCGAAAACAGCACATTCTGAGTCAGGAACTACCCTCCGATTTACCGTATCCTTAACCGTAGGAGCTAGAGGTGGATATATTGAAAACAATTGCAAAATGTCAAGTTTTAAGACTGTTTGACAAACAATATACAATCGACAATATACAATCTGCGCGGGTTCCTTTTTTTTTGAATTCTTAAGGAAAGCAGATGGGTGGGGTGTAGTCACGGTGTTGCCCCGTTACAGTGTTTTGTCATGTCCGAAGAGCAAAATTCTAGGGCCGCAGGCCCCCCACCGGACCGGACGCGTTAGTTTACTCAAATATGCAAAGTGATTTACCGGTCACATTATGTATTTGATTATGCACTTCGGTAAATCGCGAGGCTGAAATGGTCGGGCCGAAGGCCCGACCATCGCCGCCGGCAGGCCACTTCGCTGCGCCGGCAACTCCGTTCGGCAGGGGCCGGGCCTGCTTGTTCTGATTCAAACAAAACCAAGTTTGACTCCAACACACTCGATATACCAATAGGTAGGTTATTGGGGCTCCCGAGCGCGAGCGGCTGCCTGTGGCAGCTCAGGAAAACAGTTGAATGTTTGTTGTGGTCCGTGGCGGCCATCTTGGAACTTCTTGTTCTTCTAACCGCAAAAATCACTCATTGCCGGTAATTCGCCTTTTTGAGACTTTCCAGCTGAGGACTGTCGGGGAGGAATATAAAGTGTGGCACGCGTCCGGATTCGTTTGTACGTGTACATTGCATTCCCAAATCCTTTTGCGCCCGAAAATTTCAGTAGACAGCTGAAAACAGAACGGTCACTTTTTGGACTTCTCTCCGATAAGAACTCCATGCTAAACTCCAACGCCATTGAGGAAACGTATTTAAGACCAACAACGGTTTACATGACCAGCCCACGATTTCCCCCAAAATTTTACCACATTTTCTAGACCACTATCTAAGACATTGAGACCTGGAACCAGCATCCTAAAAAAAAATATTGAAGGAGTTGTGATTTTGGGTCATTTTCCCACCAAAATGTTAGTTATTTTAAAAAATCTCAGTTTTTCAGCACCTGAGGCCTCTGAAAGGCAGGTCACAGTTGATGCTGGATGAAAATGATGCGAGGATTCTAAATCAGCCCTCGGATTTGGTCCACGGGGCCTCTTAAGGGTCAAAAATGCAAAAAGGACTTTTTCAAATATTTTGGGGAAACTGCTTTAAAAAAATCCTAGAAAACTTTCGGAAGCAGGTTTGATTAGGGAAAAGACTACACTTCCTGATACTATTTTTTTAAAAGGGTGGGTCGAGACCTTCCTGAGGAGCTAGAAGCCCTAGAAAATAACCAAAATTTGTTAATTTTGAAAAAAAATAAAAACATATTCCCAGGTGTAACTTTTTGAGATAAGACCTCCTGCGCCAAAAGTTTTGCTCTAGCTATCACCATTGAGATGCTATAAATGTTTTTTTAGTCAAATTGAACCAAAAAAGTTAATTTCAGCCAACGGGGCCTTACGCCCTGTTTAAGCTCGAATTTAGTACTGGGGCACCAAGTTTCAATCAGGTGGTGCCAAAGCCTTCCGGCCAGTCCGGACGATGTCAACGAGGAGTTTCCGAGCACGCCGATGACACCCCCTCACAGACTCAGCTTAAATTTGGTATCGGAGTCTTCTCGTGAGGCCAGAGGTCCCAATTTCATGGAGCGACCGGGGCACTACGCCCTGTTTAAGCTAGAATTTAGTACTGGGCACCAAGTTTTAATCAGGTGGTGCCAAAGCCTTCTGGGCAGTCCGGAGGACGTCAACGGGGACCTCCCGAGCACGCCGATGACACCCCCTCACTCACAGTTTTAGCTCATATTTGGTACCGGAGTCTTCTCGAGAGGCCTGAGGCCTGTGGTGTTACCCCCCTCAGCAGGAGCGTCTATAGGTACCGCCCAGGCAGGCCCATCTGTGTGTGGATCTGGAGATTGAGCCCATGGACCTGGTGGATGGGGAGGACATTGAGCCTGGCCCCCATTGCCAACCTCCTCGACGTCATCGACGTCTGGTGGATGGGGAGGACATTGAGCCTGGCCCCCATTGCCAACCTCCTCGACGTCATCGACGTCAAGTTCGTCACGTCCCTGATCAGGATTGGCGGCGTCCAAACCAACACGCCCATGGCCGTATCAGGGCGATTGCCAGGAGAGGGAGGCCGGTACGGCTCCCAACCAAATTCCTGGAATAATATTCAATTTTGTAATTTTGTTAAGGTGATGGTTTTGCTGGTGTTACCAGTAGGGTCAGGTAGGGGAAAAACGAGACATTTCAATAACTTTTGTCCTATCTAGTATTTAAATGGTTATTTGATGAGTTTTCCTGCGTCTGGTCAATGAAACACAACCCTAGTACTAGTAATAACGCTTAAATTTCATTACGTAATGAAATTAAAGCGTTATTTCAGTACCGCAACCCGTGGTGTATGCAGAATCCGAAATAGTTTGTGTCTTTTCCCCAACATGCATTTCGGGGAAAAATGAGACACCCGTTGGTAAGAATGAGACAGGCAAAAACCCAGCAAATAATATAGGGACCTGCCTTGGGGAAAAACGAGACAGCGCCACTCCATGTTTTGTCTCATTTCTCCCCGCATTGGCTTCCCATGTTAAGTCAATGGAACTGAGTGTATCTTTCTTCCCCACGGAAGTGCACTTATAGTTAGTCGTACTGTTAGTAGAATTATAATTCAGGGATGTTGTATAGCTTCACGGAACCGCGGAAATCTCAGCTTTCCAACGAACTCGCACACTTATTAATCTTTACTCCTAAGAATACGGCTGCAGTACTGAAAGTATAACACCCCCGCAGAAAAGTTTTAGAGCCCTTGCGTATAGGTGGTCGGACAAGCTTCCCATTAGGTATGTTTCGTGACGAGAACAAGCGAGTAAACTTCCCAGAACCGGTTAATAATTGAAGTCTAATGTTCAAAGATGAGTTTTCAGCAGCCAAACACTACGAATGAAGTCCAAAAGCATGCAAACCAATCAAGAGAAGCGAGTGTATCATTCTTCCCCAATTCAAAGGTGTCTCATTTTTCCCCGACCTGACCCTATTTGTACTGCACGTACAAGGTTTAAATGTTCTTCGGTACTTTACCTGCCCGTTGTCATCCGTTATTATAATTACTACATTTGAGGCGTTGCCGCAAACATTCCATATTATTTTCCTTCCCTAACCTTCACATTCAAAACATGGGAGTTTGAAGTTAAGGGACTGGAAGGGGAGATGTTCTAGTTGGCAAGGCGCTGCCTGCCACCTGCGAATACAGGAAATCCTATTGGCAGTTACACCCCCCAACACAATACATCCACAGCCATAAATATGTCTGACAAACAATAAAGAGATCTCACTACTTCAGCTATTGTCTACCTTATTACCACCCGAAACCTACAAACAGGACACTGAGGACATAGGGGCCATCCATTAAGTACGTCCGAGCTCGATGGGGAGGGGGGGG